CTATAAATTTAATGCATTTTGTTCAAAACTATAGTTTGTCATGAAGCTTGATAAGCTGATTGTATGGGAATGCATAAGACTGAAAATATCCAACATAATTTTAAAGAAAATAGTAGAATGACTAACCCTATTAGATATTAAGACTTATAATGAGGTGTTGACTTGGAGAAAGACAAATTGACTAGTGAAACAGAAGAGCCCCCCAAAATGGAACCACGTATATGGAAATTTGGTGTAACAGAGAGAATTTTAAGCCAGTGGCGAAAGGATTCAATACATTTTGTTGAAATAACTGCATATCCATATAGATTAAAATGAATTAGATCCCATTTACCAAATTAAAATAACTGAATATGATAGGCAAAATTTTGAATGTTTAGAAGATAATATCAGAGCCCTGTCTGAGTGCCTCAGTTGATTAGAGTGTCGTCCCAATACACCAAGGTTGCAGGTTTGATCCCCCTTCAGGACACACAAAAGAATCAACCAATGAATGTATGAATAAGTGAAACAACAAATCAGTGCTTCTCTCTCCCCTCCTTCCTCTCTCTAAAAAATCAGTAAGTAAATTTTTTCAGAAAGACAATATCAAGAGAAAACATTCATGACCTCAAGTAGTAAAGATTTCTTTAATAAGTCACAGACAGCTCAAATTATGGAGAGTGATGACCACATTAAAATTAAAAAAGATCTGCATATGAAAAGATATCATAAAATGATGAAGCAGCCTCAGACAGGGAGAAGTTATTTGAAATATATAATAAATGATGAATTAATAATATCTACAGTTTATAAGGAATGCCTCCAAGCAGTAAGACAAAGGAAGCCCAATCAAAAAAAGGGTAAAAGACAATAAAAGGTAATTCACAGAAGAGGAATCTAACAGTAACACAAAAGATGCTCAACTGTACTAGTAGATATAGAACATAGTTTTCACTGCTTGTGATAGAGAGCTAAAGTAATAGTGGCATTAAAAAAAGGGAAATTTATTTCTCTAGCAAGTGAAAGTTGGGCTGTTATGGTGGCTGTACTCCATGAAATTATCAAAGTTGTTACGTCACTCCGTGGCAGAGATTAGGCAATTTTTATCTTGTTATTCTGCCATTCCCAGGTATTGCCCTTGTCTGTGTGGTCCAAGATGGTTTACCACCACATCTGTATTTTAGTTAGTAGAGAGTGGGAAAAGTGAGGGGGAGCAATTGAGCACAAGTTAGAAATTGTACAGATTACTTCTTATAAACCATGTATCCTCACTTTGCTGCAAGAAGCCTGGGGAACATTGTCAGTCTTTATTCTGGGTGGTCCTTTGTCCAGCTAAAAATTGGATTTTCTATCACTGTAGTGGAAGGGAAGAAGTTTGGGGGAGCAGTCTCCACCACATCAGGTAAACAAAGAGTGTTTCGCACTCATTTGACTGGGAAGAAAATTAAACTTTTGAAAACAAATGTTGGCAATGATGTGGACCAAAGTGAACTCTTATATGCTGCTTATGGAGCATACAATCAGTTTGGAAAACAACTTTACAACACCAAGTAAGGCTGAAGATGTGCATACTCTCTGAGGAAGCAGTTCTGTTACTGGGATATACTGTAAGGGAACTCTTCCACATGTATACAAGTGGTCATGTACAGGAATGAGTTCAATATTATTTGAATTATCAAAATAATTAGAAAATTTTAAATGCCCATTCACTGGAGAATGGATCAACTGTGGTACAATAGTATGATGGAATTTCACACAAGAGTGAAAATGAAGAACTACATGTATCATCAATGGATAAATCTTAAAAATATAACACCGGGAGACAAAAGCAAGTTGTGGAAGGATATATGCAATATACTAGTTAACAAAGTTTTAAAAATGCAAAACACTGCTACATATTGTTTACAGAAACATATGTACTGTATTTGGGGAATCTGACAAATAGCACCTTCTTTTCCTGCCCAGTTTCTGAACTAGTTGAGAAATCAAATGAGTCAATAGATGAAAACCAAAATATCACCTTCGTTACTGACCGAGGATAGGTTGAAGGCTATGGCTTAATATGAGAGCTGAAAAGGTCTTGCTAACTCCCTACTGCCAGTATAGACTTTAGAGCAGTTTGCCTGTAGGAAAGTTTGCCCAACAAACTAGACTTCCCCTGCCTCTCAGGTCACTGCCTCCAACCAATCAGGTAGAAAGGGAAGGAGAAAGAAATTAAATCTCTTGCTCTGAGGAAGGACATATTATTTGATAGAGCCATCTAGCCCAGAACCCCAAACCAGCAACTGTCCCTCACCAATCAAGGGTAGGGCAAAGATCCAGGAGGGTTTATGGAAAATCTCTCCTTAAGGAACCAGAGGAATGGGGTACAGATATCCTGATACAGATAAGTTTAAAAACATTCATGGGGATTGTTAAGGACCAAATTCAACGTAGTCATTACTACTAAGGCAATGGTTCCTCACTCCAGCTAGTATCAGGATCTCCTGGAGGGTGTGTTAAATCATGCATGGCTTGATCCCACCCTTAAAGTTTTTGATTCAGTGATCTGGAATGGGGCCCAAGAACTGGCATTTCTGACAAGGTCACAGTTGATGCTGTTCGTGTTAGTCTGGTGACCATGCTTTGAGAACCACTGCCTTAGGATGAGATGAAGGAAAGAAATGGTTAGCCTAAGGAAAGGTAAGCAGAAAGATGTAATTATATTTTCAGTGTTTGATTTCTCGGGCTGAATGGTGGGTGTTATTATTTCTATATTTTCTTTTTAATCAAGATAATTAAATATTTCCACATATGAAAATAATGATGGAGTATATAACACTCTGGAAAATACTGCCTCAATACTGACAAATCATCTGATTACTCAGACTTTGGAGGAGTAACATGTTAAATTTAGACTAACTTGAAAGAAATATGTTAAAATACATTTTTACAGGATAAATGATTAACAATATATAGCAATAATTTTTACTACTTGTTACAGTTTTGTAGGTCTTTCAAATTGTTTTTATGCTTACTAAGATCAATCATTGTTAGAAATTTTTATCATGTTTCCCAATATGTTCTTTAGTTTAACATATTAAAAACTACTCTATTAAAATATTTAATGTTTTACTCTGTTTTATGTTATTACTTATTTTTATTGAAGTATAACTGACATATAACATTATATTAGTTTTTGGTATATAACAAAATGATTTGATATTTCTATATATTGCAAAATGATTACCACAATAAGTAGTTAACATTAATCACCATACACAATTATAAAATTTAGTTTTCTTGTGATGAAAACTTTTAAGACTTTCTCTCCTAGCAACTTTCAAATATGCAATAACTAGTGTTAACTGTAGCCACCAAACTATACATACATTGTTTTACATATAACTTATATTTCATGGGAAATTTAGCAATCTGAAATTGCAGGACCAGAGAATATGTTTTACTTTTAGTTTTCTGGAAACTCCTCCCTTTTAATTTCAATTTGACCTGGTAAAGAATTTATGTTTCTTTTTGTTTTTTAACTAATACCCTTTTTAAACTCTCATCTTACTGATTCAATTATAACATGCTCAGATATTGTTAAATGTGCAGACAATTGTTAAAAATGTTTTATTGTTGAACATTTTATGAGCTCTAGAATTTAAGTGGCTTGCAAGTTTTTATAGTAATTCATGTATCAATAATTAAGTATAGAGTATATTTTTTATCAGTTTAGCCATTCATAAAGAATTTTTAGGAGCATTACAACCAAATGATGACCACTAGCAGGGGAGGCAAAAGGTAAGTCCTTGGTGGACGTATGTGGTGTCCTTGCACATTCCAGCAGCATCTAGCAACCCCAAGTAGCCACAAGTCAAACCTTTTGATCAGTAGTGAACATGTGAGTCAGTGCTGGAGAATGTCTACTTAGATGTTCATTCTTTTCTTATCAATAGGAGTGTAATTAATACCATCCCACCGTTTTGAAAAATAGTGTACCAGAAGATGTCAAAGCTTTAAAAATATGTATGCTCATTCCTTCAGGAATTCCTCTTTCAGGGCTACCCAAAGAAATGATCTGAAATGCCAACAAAGATTTGTCCACAGAATGCTCATGATATTATCACTTAAAACAACAGGGTGATCTAAATATTCAATTATAAGAGAAGAATCAAGTTGTTTATGAATTATTATGCCATATTACAGTTATTTTTTAAAACTTTATGAAGTGAGAATGTTTTAAAGTTACAATTTAATATGTAATTTGCATATGTATATCATGTGTATTTATTGCATTGTTTTTATCATATGGCTTTAAATATATGCATAGAAAATGACAAAAATTCTCTTTTAGTGATGGAATTATGCATGATATTTTTATACTTTTCTGTACTAAGAAAATATACAATAAAACTTTGTTTTAAAAAGATTCTTCTTGCAAAATATAGTGTTATGTAGTATTAAGTCTCAGTCCACATATATTTTCTGACTTTCCAGTTCCAATTTTCACACAAAATACATTAGGTTATCTAAGAAACAATTTAAAGTATATTTAAACAATAACACTTTTTAAAGCTCTTTCATCACATCATTGAGAAATTCTAGTAAACTTTTAAGGCAAATTATTTCTCATCGAATTTCATATTTATAGGTCTCATAAATTTTGCTAGCCTCTTCCGATTAAAAATTTTATTGGGCTCGTTCTTGAATAGCTTTTTAAATATTTTATTGTGTAGATCAGTTGCCTAAAGCAGTATTTCTCAATCATTTTTTCACCATTACCTCTCTAAGGAGCCTTTGTAGACATTTCCCCAACTTGCCCCCACTCCATGAAATTGTAATATTTGCTTATGTAATACATATATATCTATAGTTTATATAGAGAGAGACTAAGATGTTTTTTCACTCTCACAGAACCCATGTTCTTTTGGTGGCGATATTGCCCCCTTTAAGAACGTGTGGCTTAAGTAAACATTATGAAAAAAATGTTTTAACTTTCAAAATGAATCTCAAGCCCACATGTTTTGTTTTTACAGCTGCCTGCCTCTCAAACGTCCCATGGTGACCACTCCAACACTACTGCTGTGGGGAGAGGAAGACGCATACATGGAGGTTGAGATGGCTGAAGTCACAAAGACTTACGTTAAAAACTATTTCAGCCTAGTTATTTTGTCAGAAGCCAGCCATTGGCTTCAACAAGAACAACCTGACATAGTGAACAAATTGATCTGGACATTTCTAAAAGAAGAAACAAGAAAAAAATATTGACTTTTCTATATCTTCTGTGAGAGGTCAGTAATCAAACTTCTAAGTGATTTTTTAAAATTGTTCATCAACTTCTTTAAGCTGCACTAGGAAAAAATGTTTTAACATACTTTATTATAAATAAGTATCCTGGCAAATGTTACTGAAAAAAATCTGAGAATGTGTATGAATTTGTAACATAATGTTGATTTTCTTCTATTGTATTTCACACATAAAAGCACCCTCCTTACAATGTATACACTTGTACAGAAAGGAAGTTGGGGAAAGACTCGGTTTTAGTTTCTTGCATTCTTTACCTTATTAACATATAGTGCCTTTTACATATGCATATTAAAGATTAGCCATATTGAAAGGCAAACCTACAATGGTATAAATTTTCATTTTCTTGGTTAAAAGTTCCTTTAACTATTTTTAACCATTAAAAATTCTATTTTCAAATCTCTTGACTATATAGTATATTAATTGGTTTGAAGCCAGATATGACTAGATGAATATGCACTCTTAAAACACGCCATAAGAACTACTTATACTGGGAAGATTAACAAGAGATGTGAAGATTCTCATATATACATATTTTTTTAAACAATGCAAAGTAGGGAAGCATATCCATTATTAGATTACTTGCCTCAATTCTCCAGCTAAGTTGGTAAGAGATTTAGGAAAAGGATCCAAACGTCCTTTTGTCCTACTCAGGGCAACAAGAATTGAATACCGTACGTCCCCTGTGCCCTACCATCTAAGCTCCACAGGCAGAGACCTTTTATTGTTTTATTAACTGACTTATATCCAGCACCTAGAAAAAGAGACTGGCTCATTGTAGGAACTCAAATATTTGCTTAATAAATAAATAATGTATCTGATGCACTGCTAAGCACTGTGGGAGAACTATAAAAAAGATGACACAGTCATATAGAACTTTCCCTTAAGTATACACAGAATGCAGTTAAACAGGGTTTAAGAATAGTAATGAATACAGGAATAAGAGTGGAACGAGTTACAGAATTAAGAACAATACCAGCTCAAGGGGCTACTCATTCTCTTGGGCTGCTCTTCTTGGCAAGGGATACACCAATAACATTGCCAGATTGTGACTCCTTAGAAACTACAATTGTGTTTCTTTGGTGGAAGCAATGTTTCTTTCACTGATATAGTTCTTCCAGGGACAGAAGAAAGGGGAATGTCCCTAAGAATTCTTATCATTGCATCGCAGCAGCTTATATTTACTAATAAAAGCCAAATTTTCTATATGCATTATACTTTGCCTCATAACAACATTGCAAGGTGGGGAGTATCACCAGTTTACAGATGTGAAAATGAGGTTGGCCAGTGCCCAGTGTTGCGTGTTGGAACCAGGATCTGACCTAGATGCATCAGGTGTAAAGCCCATAATCTTTACACTGCAATTATGTCTGTTTAACTGGTTCTGGAGTGCTCACTGCTATTCCTATTTATTGCTAACCTAGTGTACTGCAAGAAATAGAAACATCTCTCAGAAACCTTCAATTTGACTTTTAATTCTGAGAAAAAGAATTTAAATGAACAATTAGCAAACACAGGAATATTCCATATAGCACTGTCAGAGTTGCAAATGCTACAAAGTACAGAGGAGAGCCGGGTTCACACAGCTTTAATTATGCGTCCCTCTTGATCATTTCCAAAGGACAGCAATAAAAGGAAGAGACAGAGTTTGTTGACTGTGTATGTTGACACAATGAACTGATGAACTAATCCTGACTCATTTTAATGAAAAACTATTGCTGACAAAGGTGATACTAAGGTTTTTTGTTGTTACTTACATCAGTTTAGAATGCTGACCGGTTCATGTGGACTAATGTTAAGTATGTGAATCAATCGTGCCACGGCTGATTCTGGCGTATGATAACAGATGTATTCTAATTCTCAGTGGGTGTGGATGACTGTAACAGATACAAAGGCTGGAGAGTGCCATCAGTTAAACCTCTTAGCGTAAAGGGATATTACTGTCTCTGTAGAAATCAATTCGTAGAGAGAGAAAATGAATTTGATTTACCAGCTGCCAAAGCATCTCACAGGAAGTGAACTGTAATAATAGTGGCATTTAAATTTAAAAATTGTCATAAATATTCATATATTTAATATATCCCTAGTGTAGGAGACCATTCTGCATGGCGTGGGCCCAGCCCCCAGTGGCAAACATTTACTGCAAAGTAACTTCCTAAAATCCATGCTAAACCTTCCAAGGAAGAGTGTAACACGTTCAATCACTTTAGCCCTTTTCGTTTGCAAATATCCCTCTTCTGTGATGTGATTAGCAGCATTGGCTCCTTTGTTTTCTGTAAAGGGTAACCATCAAAAGCAACCTGTGCATAGTAAATGAGGACCCTCATGTAATGTGTAGAGAAACCCAATAAAGGCTGGTCATGGCAAAAACCTAGGCTTTTGCTCCCCTTGAGATAAAAGCCATGCCCGCCCTTCTCCTCCTGTGTGAATGTCTCATTTCATCCATAATGACTCAGACACTGCGGGCCGGTGTCCACATCACCCTAGTAGCTATATACTATATGCTCAATATAAATGCCAGAAATTGCTATATGAAAATAAGTTATTAAGCATATATATCAAAAGATGTTTACAAAAAGCAACAAAGAGTGTATTGGTACGATTCTAATTCTCCTGCTGTAACATTTACCATTTTTAATTTTTCAGCTTTTAAGGGTAATACATCATTTCTTATTAATACCCAACTGCCTCTAAGTTCTAATTATGTGTGAATAGAAAGAGCACCACTTGGAAGGAGTGGGCTCTGAGGGCTGACCCCCTATCCCAGCTACCTGTGTCTTGAGATTGCTGAAGAGTCAGCCTCATGGCCCAGTGGTCCCCAAACTGAGAGTTGGAGGTATGGGAGTCCTCCTTCACCTCTTGCACCATGACCAACCCCGTGGTGCAGCAGAAGCACATCAGTGCATGGCACTGGGCCTGCATCATCTTCATGGGCACCATGCCGGTGCCTGTGGGCATGTCCTGCCTGCATCACCACCCCCTGGCCTGTGGTCATGCTGTCCACCGTAGGCTGTTCTGCTCACCCAGCCAAGCCTACCAAGAGTTGGAGAAGAAAATTGGTGAAACCAGCCATCAGATTTTTGTTTCAGGTGATTTTCTTTGTAGCATGGTTCCTGGTTAAAGTGAAGGGGCAGCTGGAGACAAGGCCCCTATCTTTGTACTGAACCACACTTCACTTTCTTTGGTGCTATTGTTATGAGAAGAACTCAGGCCAAACACTGGAGGAAGCAAAGTGGTTCCTTTATTTACGTGTGCAGACCCAGAGGAGGCAGTCTCCAAATTCTGGGCCCCGATCAATGGGGAGCAATTGCTTATATAGGGTGAGGGATGGTCTGTCACTTAGACCATTACTTCTGGTGGGAAAGCAAGAAGCAGCTTATAGAAGTGAAATGTTATCTGTAGCACACAGAGACACAATGTTGTCTCTAGCACACAAATGTTATCTCTAGCAATCATTATCTCTGGCACGCAGGGACAAGCAAGAAACAAAGGGGAAAAAAACAGCCATTTCCTGGGTGCTGTGCTATGTTTTAAAATAACTGTCAATTTCCTCTAACATTGTCACATGAGTTGGGTCAGGGTTACTCTCGACGGTCTACAAGTCAAAGTGCACAGATCCCATAGCTGGGAAATTTGTGCTATCGCCACAGCCAGTGCTTATAACTAGAGAGGACCGCAACTCCAGAAAGACTACCTGGGGTGAAATCCTGAAGCTAGTGACATCCAAAATGAAGTGGCCACAGATCCTAGAAGGAGGGTGTACCATTGCACATATCTGGTCACTATTAGACTGAGGGCCTTTTCTCTAGGTGTTCCCATGCAATCAGTACTGCTCAGGTACCCAAATACCTTGGACACGCTGACTAAAACCTGGCAGAGGTTTACAGGCTTCCAGCCATGTATGCTGACCCTGAGTTAACTCTTCACTAGGGAAGAAGTAGAGTTTATGCCTGTTTACATCCTAAATGACCAAGGGAAAAAAAAACAAAACATCCTTTTTGCCAATACAGTGAGGATCAACATGGCAAATGCCCTGGGGGTGCCTGTGACACACCACACTTCTGAAGACTGCAGATCGATGATTACTACAGGTAACTTTCAACTACCCATGAAAGCTGGTTTGGTGTAATTTACAAAAATTAGCCAGAAATTGAAGTTAGATTGGGATAATATCCATCATCATTTGGATGAATATGCTGCAATCGCAGTTGTCACAAAAGAAGACAAGAATTGAAGAATTTTCAAATTATTTAAAACTGCTAATTCCAGAACACTTGAGACAATCTTTTGTCCTTTTTGACAGGAATACTGGTGACAGCAACACGTAAATTTCAGAGACTACGTGTTAGGTACTGACTGTCCTATACAATGCTGCCGACACTGAAAAGACTCTGCAGATGTCTTTTATGCTTTTTGATCTTGAGGATGGTTTCACAACAGAACAGGAGTTAGTTCTCTGCTGTACTTCGGAAGCTTTGGGAGTGTCAGATTTTCATGTTTCCAGACTCCTTAAGGAAATAGCTAGACGGAACTCAGAGTACATTTCATACAAGAACTTTAAGAAATTTGCCTTGAAGCATGCAGAATATGGCAAATTATTTAAGTCATACTTAGACCTCCAGGCAACCTATACTATACGCGTATTACCACAAGTACAAGTTTAATCACTGTATTTAAATGTTAAAGTTAGCCCTGAAAATGGTGTAAGTATCTTCCAGGTAGAAAATATGAAACAAAAATATTTATTTGAGGAAAAACAAAGTAGTTTTTACTCTAGTGGCTTGGACACTTAATTATGATATTTAAAATGTGCTTGAGGACTATATAAATATATTAGATTTTATAGTACCTACTTTTTTCTTTTTCTTTTTGAGCAGTAAAACTTATGTTAGATACAATTACCCCTTTAGCAGCAATAATAGTAAATATGTCATTTTTAAAAAATTTAAGATACTAAGAAGTGT